AAATATCCGATTTTTCGGCCAAATGTGACCGATTTTCGACCACGGGAATAGATTCTCCAAAACACCAAACTGCCCACGATTTATGAGCAAACCCAAGCCAATTTATCCCCAAATTTCAGGACAAGATGAGCCCGATCTCGCGCCACAGCAGCAATTCCTCGATCCGCTCTCCGCAGAAGACATAAGACTACTCGCTCCACCACTGACCCTGTCCCCGCTCGGCATTCCAACATTTCCTCTCGTCGTGTGCACCGGCAATAGTGTTCAATCCTTTCAAAAATACTAAAGTAAAAATCACTTTCTGAAAATAAACGTTAAACATATTCTTTACTTTGCTTAATTCACTCGATCATACATTTTCCAAAGCTGCTCTTTGTCTTGGCCTCTTCGCTTTGATGCCCTCGCCCTCGCCCATACCCAGTATTTCCACCCCGTCCTGCCTCTCTGTTTTCTGCAACCTGATGAGCACATTTCCACACTTGCGAATTTCGATAACTAATTGTATATACTAGTTTATACGCCGGATAGCCGGAGCCAGCCCCGTCGCTGGGCATCTTTATTTCTTCTCGCATATCCCAAGCCCCACTAGAGAGAATGGGAACGATTTCCCCCATACGCCCAATATTTCGAACCAGCATTCACTACGGTTTACCGGCAATGTATCTTTGACTTTCCCCGAACTGATCCTTTGCACCCTTTAATAAATGATTGATGGCTGTGCAGGAATTTACCTGATACAGTTTTTACACCGAAAATACATCGAACCGTAGACGGACAGCATTTTGGCCGACGGGAAACGTTCTTTTGCTTCTTTTTGTTTTCCACACTTTTCCTCAAAAGACCGAAAAACCTTTCCCGGCCCGGCCATTCGCTTTTGCCGCCACTTTGCCTTTTGCAAACGCCTTCGCCCCGCAGCTGCGCAAAACCCTAACTTTAGGCATGTTCCTCACCTCACTTTTGCAAAGAGTCTCACCAGATGGGGATTACCCGGCTTTTCTTGTCGAATTCTTTGTGGTGTTGCAGGTGTGTGCGTTTCGCTGAAAGCCTAATTGCTTGTTTTCCGGTCCACTTCCTCGCCGCCCTCTACCTCGTCAAGGAGTTCTACTTCTGGGCCCGGCATTATGGACGATGGTGTCGTATATGGTCAGAAGTGAGTTGATTATTCATTCAGTAAGCAGCGAATCTTTAGTTCAACCAATCCTACTTCAACAACCGCGCGAGCAAGGTGGCGCTTTTGACGGGCGGTGACGGGACGATTGGACGCGAGGTTTTTTCGGCCCAACCTATGAAAGTCCGATTCCAGTTGGTCAAAATACTCTTGGCACGCGGCTGGACGATCCACATCGTCACGTCGGATCGATTGAAAGCAACAACAGCGCTGATCGTCGACCAAGTGCCCCATTCGAACGACACAAAGCTGGCCCTGCACGAGTGTGACTTGCGCGATTTAAAGGCGGTGCGTTTTTATGTGACCCGGAAATAGGAAGGAGCCTAGCGCTTGGTTTTTTACATTGATCTCCACTATTATTGCAAGAAACTCCTCTTGGAAACTCTTTACTTTACGCTTTTCAGGTGGCCAACTTTGCCCAGACATTCAAGGACAAGAATCGGCAGATCGATCTTTTCATTGGCAACGCAGGCGTGCTGCATCCGAGGGATTCGGTAACCTCCTCTCCATCCCTTATGTGTCTTCTTTAGTGGACCGATCACGCCGCAGTTGATGGGATGAACGTGAACGTCGTCGCCCATGCTGCGCTACTCGAGGTGGGTTTATTTTTCTTGGCTTTCACTAGGCGTAAATTTCGGATACTGCGCCCAGTGCTCGCCCGGGACCATCGTGTGCTGCTTATGGGCTCATGTTGTAGTCATGCGTGCCTGGCGACGAATAAGACTGGTATCTTTATGTTGATATGAATGTTTGAGGAAAAACTCTAGATTCCTCCTTCCTCTACGACGCTCACGGTCCGTATCAAGCCTACGCTTTCTCGAAGTTGCTGCTTGCCGTCTATGGCGAGATGCATGCGCAGTAAGATTTTGCCATATTTTTCGGTAACCTAATCTTCCTTCTCAGGTCGATGCACAACACCCATCCGGGCTCAACCCTCTGCGTCGTCCATCCGGGCGTTGTGCCGAGCGCCTTGTATCGAAAGACGAATCCGTTAACCCGTCTCGCCATTGGGTATCTGCTGCCGTTGATCGCGAGGTATTGCACTTCGACTCTAAGATGTCACGTTCCACTCTTTCAGAAGCGCTGAGGATGCGGCCATTCTTTCCCTGCATACGGCTTTCCGCGAAGACGTCAAAAGTGGCCTCTACTTTGAAGATGGTCAGCCGACTTCAGTTAGACGGGACTTGGAAAAACCTGTAGGCTTTCTCCTTCTCATCACCGCCTTATCGTTTTAGACAAAGATGGCTATGTATTCGAGGATCCAAAGCGAGGTCCGGCAAACGCTTCAGAAGAAAGACTAACGGTCACAGAATCTGCCCTGTAGTTTTGTATCTTTACGCTAGCTGTGATTCAACTGTATCAATGCGTGCCATTTTTTGTGTGATCCATTCTCAAAGTTGTGATATGTTCTGCACCCGCCTATTTTTTTAATGCGGCTGATGAAGTGAGTTATGATAAAGGATTGACCAGTGTTTCCTATAATAATGCGAAAGGTGCTTGACCGACAAAATTATCCATTTAATAGAATTATCATTATTTGTACGGGCCTTTGTTTTAGAATGGTAAACGTGAAAAAGGGCGTGATGATCACGTGTGACCCGGCGATGCAAAAGCTGCTCGTCCATCTCGATGAGACGCGGGCGCTCGGCAGCCAATTCATTGTAAAGGTGATTTTTCACAGATTTAGCGGGCCTAGGTCTTTTTGCTTTTTCTCGCTGTTTGGCTAGTGAAAGGCAGGATTCATACGCTTTAATTTGGGCCGTTCATTATATTTGTTCAGGAGCTCGACGAGACACACCTGATCGTCGATAAGGACATCGTCCCTACGATTGAGGCCAAGATTGACGAGCTGATGGAGCAAATGAACCCCGAGGCCACCGAGAAATAAGGCCATCCCTTCCCTAAACCCATCTAACGTGTATATTTCCCTATTTTATAGTATAAACGGGTAACTTGTGATCTTTTTATTGTGGAATTTCGGAATACATTTTTTGGAGCAAATTGAGTCTGTCAGTTGTTGCTTTCGTCATCTTCCATCGAGATATTAGCTGTTTTTCGTAGCTCAAAAGGAGACGTTTTTGAGTGTCGTCGGGACTTTGGCACGGGACCAAGCCTATTTTGTGCAGAATTTTACGCTGATTCCGAATATGTTAACCGTTTTTGCGGAAGAGCCATTTCTCGAAAGTTATGAACGATTTAAGCCTCAAAACAGCCCAAAATCGGCTACTTTCAATAGTCATAAAAGGCTTCAAAATAGGTTTTAGACAAAACCAGATAGTGCATCTTGTTCAGAAAAAAAATTCTCTATAAAATGTACCATCTTTTTCAAAATCATTGAAAAGTTGGAAAAATTTGATAAATTGGGAGGTCCATAATTTTACAAAAATTTTCAAAATTCCAGCATTTTTGAGTTAAGTAGCTTATTTTATAGAGAATTTTTTTCTGAACAAGATGCACACACAAGTTTTGTCTAAAACCTATTCCGAAGCCTTTTATGACTATCGAAAGTAGCCGATTTTGGGCTGTTTTGAGGTTTAAATCGTTCATAACTTTCGAGAAATGGCTATTCCGCAAAAACGGTTAACATATTCGGAATCAGCGTAAAATTCTGCACAAGATAGGCTTGGTCCCGTGCCAAAGTCCCGACGACACTCAAAAACGTCTCCTTGTCAGCGGAAATATTCCAAAAAAATCATGAAATTCTTGTCAGCGGCGTGATTGTTATTGCAAATCCGATACAATAAAAACGATAGTCTAAATCTATCAACTATAATAATTTTGTTGTGGTCTCCGTCTGTCTGTGTGAAGCCGAATTCAACTCGAAGGGGAAAGGAGCTAGAGCTTAGCTCTCTTCGGATTCGGATAGAGCGCCGTCAGAAACCCCCAAACTGATAAAAAAATTATTGAAAAGTTTTAGTTTAAATTATTAAAATTAACTTTGAAAGTTTTTCCTTAGTAAAGGAGTGGGGGTCCCTTTCCCTGGGAGGCCACGCCCCCTTTCTTTCGCCCATCTTCCCCAGGCCCCTTCCCGCGCCCAAATAGCTTTTTAAGTTACTTTAATACTTTTAATACTTTTTAATACTTTTTAATACTTTTTAATTATGCTAATTAATTATTTAAATCATCTGAAGCCATCGGGAAGGTATTTAGGTAGTTTTTGAAGGGGATTTCAGCCATGGGGGGTATCTGAAGCCATCGGGAAGGTATTTAGGTAGTTTTTGAAGGGATTTCAGCCATGGGGGTATCTGAAGCCATCGGGAAGGTATTTAGGTAGTTTTTGAAGGGATTTCAGCCATGGGGGGTATCTAGAAGCCATCAGGAAGGTATTTAGGTAGTTTTTGAAGGGGATTTCAGCCATGGGGGGTATCTGAAGCCATCGGGAAGGTATTTAGGTAGTTTTTGAAGGGATTTCAGCCATGGGGGTATCGCAGCCATCAGGAAGGTATTTAGGTAGTTTTTGAAGGGATTTCAGCCATGGGGGGTATCCTGAAGCCATCAGGAAGGTATTTAGGTAGTTTTTGAAGGGATTTCAGCCATGGGGGTATCTGAAGCCATCGGGAAGGTATTTAGGGTAGTTTTTGAAGGGGATTTCAGCCATGGGGGTATCTGAAGCCATCAGGAAGGTATTTAGGTAGTTTTTGAAGGGGATTTCAGCCATGGGGGTATCTGAAGCCATCGGGAAGGTATTTAGGTAGTTTTTGAAGGGGATTTCAGCCATGGGGGGTATCTGAGCCATCAGGAAGGTATTTAGGTAGTTTTTGAAGGGGATTTCAGCCATGGGGGGTATCTGAAGCCATCGGGAAGGTATTTAGGTAGTTTTTGAAGGGGATTTCAGCCATGGGGGTATCTGAAGCCATCGGGAAGGTATTTAGGTAGTTTTTGAAGGGATTTCAGCCATGGGGGGTATCTGAAGCCATCAGGATGGTATTTAGGTAGTTTTGAAGGGATTTCAGCCATGGGGGTATCTGAAGCCATCGGGAAGGTATTTAGGTAGTTTTTGAAGGGGATTTCCAGCCATGGGGGTATCTGAAGCCATCAGGAAGGTATTTAGGTAGTTTTTGAAGGATTTCAGCCATGGGGGGTATCTGAGCCATCAGGAAGGTATTTAGGTAGTTTTTGAAGGGATTTCAGCCATGGGGGTATCTGAAGCCATCGGGAAGGTATTTAGGTAGTTTTTGAAGGGGATTTCAGCCATGGGGGTATCTGGAAGCCATCAGGAAGGTATTTAGGTAGTTTTGAAGGGATTTCAGCCATGGGGGTATCTGAAGCCATCGGGAAGGTATTTAGGTAGTTTTTGAAGGGGATTTCAGCCATGGGGGTATCTAAGCCATCAGGAAGGTATTTAGGTAGTTTTTGAAGGGGATTTCAGCCATGGGGGGTATCTGAAGCCATCAGGAAGGTATTTAGGTAGTTTTTGAAGGGGATTTCAGCCATGGGGGGTATCTGAAGCCATCGGGAAGGTATTTAGGTAGTTTTTGAAGGGGATTTCAGCCATGGGGGGTATCCGAAGCCATCAGGAAGGTATTTAGGTAGTTTTTGAAGGGGATTTCAGCCATGGGGTGTATCTGAAGCCATCGGGAAGGTATTTACGTAGTTTTCAAGGTGATTTCGTCTAAGGGAGGTATCTGTAGCCATTAGCGGGGGTATTTTTGGAAAGGTAGGGATGGATGTGATGGTGTATGGCATGAAGGGAAGCTCGAAGGCCAGATGGTTACAGTCGCGAAGCGACTGGAACCATCTGGTTTATAATAATCCTACCTTATATAATTTTGGCGCGTATGTGTGTGTGTGTGTGTGTGGATGTCACTTTCGAGGCCCGATTTGAGGGCCTTCCCGTGCATAAAATGCCCTAATTCTCCGTCATCCGGGGGAATCGACCCTTCTGTTTCCGATGGCGTTGTCAGCATTTCGATAAAATACAAGTTTACAAAGTTAAAGCCGGTTTTATTCATTTTTGGGGGTCCCTGAGGGCTAATTTGCATAATGCGGAAAAATACAAATTTCCTCATTCTTGCCAGTTGCACTCGCGTGTGTGGCCGGTGGGCGGAAGGGGTCCGAAGGACCCGAGCTGTCGGGAAGTCAAATTTTTCATGCAAAGGCCGCATTCCAGCGCCCAAGGCCCGCGAAGCGGGTTTTGGGCGCTGGTCTTTAATAATTCTGTTTGCGGTTTTTTATCTGGAATGGATCTAGGCCAAATTGGGATTTTTGGATCCAAAATACCTACTAGCTGGATGGAAATATGGCAAGGGAAAGAACTGACCACAGATTCGGAATCGGCGCAAAAAGCTGATCTGGATGAACCAACTTGTCCTACCAAGTTCCTTTCCTTCCGTTGTGAGTGAGCCCTCAGCGACATTTTAGAATGTCCTAGTCGAGAGGTGGCTCACGCCTACACGTTGCCACACGAAATGTCGGAGTTGAATTTGAAACTTGGAATTTGAAATCTAGTTGCAATATCCTATCCTACCTTATATAATTTTGGGGTGTATCTCTTTGTGTGTGTGTGTGTGTGTCCAGCGCCAGGGAGGGCTACTTTGAATAATTCCAAAAAATACAATTTTCCTCAGTCTTGCAAGTTGCACGCGCGGGTTTGGTCGGAGGAAGGGAGGGATCCGAAGGACCCAAGCTATCGGAAAGCAAATTTCTCATGCAAGGGCCGCATTCCAGCGCCCAAGGCCCGCGAAGCGGGTTTTGGGCGCTGGTTAAGATAATGATCTTGCGTGCGGGCTTCTGCGAGCGGGCTTTCGTGATACCCCCGAATTTTTGCAACAAACCTTGCATACGCAAAGTTAATTTGAATAATCATAGCCGATTCCGGAACTTGGCTCCTTTGGGAAATTCGAAGAGGATTCATCCTTTCTCGGTGTGCCAGCCCTCTATCGGCCTGCCTCGTTGGCCGCTTTTCGGTCAGTTGCTGCGTTTCGGTCCGAATATATCCATTTCCCGCCTCCGATTTTGTTTCGTTCGCTAGAGTTTTGTGGTCACGTATATCAAGTTTTTCCAGGCTTGGTCGTCTCTACAGCGGGTCGGCCTTGGTCCAACGGCCAATCACTGTGGTGCCTTGGACTCGTTGCGGTAAGCTTTTGGTTTAATCCAATCTACTCCCCACCAGGTCCAATCCCCGAGTCCTATTAATGTGACGAGTATCTCAAAATTTTCACCGAATTCCTAGAATTCCTAGAACAATTGTTTCCTTGAGGCAAAAATTACTAGAAATTTTTGACGTGATTTTGAAAGTTGAAAAGATTAGGCCGCTATGCTTCAATGTTCAATTTCATTTACAGCTATTTTTTCAACTCAAACCTATGTAGTCTCATTTTACAGAGCAACAGCTACATTTTGGTATCCTTGCCAAGTCTGTAAGGCTAAGGAGGCAAATTCGAAAACTCAATTTGGAGCGGTAAAAATTAACTAAAGGAAAGCCGGATATGTAATCCTTATAAAAATTTCTCTAACAATTTTTGTTTTAAGAAAATATCTTTTGTATAGTATGTACTTCGACCACGACAAACATTTTGAGATACTCCACGCATTAAAATGACTTAGCGCTCAAAGTTAAAGGCTGGGGGAGGGACGGATAAACTAGTGTCTTATCTTTTCTATATCTAAAACCTGTGTAAAATGCAATAAGGTGTTTTGTATTTCGTTATAGGGCGAAAGTACCTGGGGAAAAAAATGGACTTCCCGCCGTTACGAGTCCAGAACCAAAAAAAGTATAGAAATTTACGAAAACCTTTGACTTTTTGCCCGAAAATGTTTTCATACGATTGACAACCGATTTCCCTACGAATCCCTGCTGGCCTACCATCACTTAATTTCCAGAAGTACACGTATCCGCTGCGCGAGGAAAAGCCGTACGTCGGTCGAGTTCGTCTTCTTCAACGTGTTTGGGAGAAGGTTAGCAGGTTTATCGTTTAGATAAACTTATAATACTTAATATAGTTTAATTTAATTTATAAATGACGTGTACAATGCGAAACCGTGGAGGTATTGGACTGTTAGCAGGGGGAGCTAATTTTCCCGAGTATTACTGTACGACCCTAAATAACGAAATGGAAACGATTTTTATAGCTATTCCCACAATTTTTAGCTAAAAAAAGACATAAAAAACTTTTACAAGTGTTCGAAATTTTTTTGAATGTATGAAAGCTGAATGTAAAATTTTTTTATGTTTTTTGAATGTAGGGAAAATTTTGAATTTTCAAAATTAAAGTATCTTTTTTGACTTCATAGCCATAAGATATTATAAAAGTACATTATTTATTATTGAGAGGCTGGAATAGAGGGGAAAAAGAAGAGTAGGTTCCCCTGGCGCCAACCCCCCGCCCCCGCTAACAGTCCAGTACCGAATTTTTGTGCCCACAAATATCACAGCTTTTTGCAGATCCACAGACACTTCAAGTGGAAGTACATCGACCAGACGCTGGGCTACGTGACCTTCATCTGACCCTACACCATCTCCACACAGTCAACATGGTGCGCAATTTCTTCAGCTGGCGAAAGCCGCCGTACTCAGGCGCGCTAAATCAGTTTTTTTTTGGGGCGATCGTTACTTCGGAAAGACATTACTTCTAAAAGTAATTGCCCCTAATGATCCGACTTCTAAAAGTAGTTCTAGAAATCATTCCTTCGAAAAGCCATGACTTCTAATATTGTTACCCTAAAATCGTTTGCTTTTTCTAAAAGTTGCAACGTTGGACTATCAGTTTTTCGGCAAATTTGGCAATATTTAGCCGAGAATCCACGCTTAGACTTTTAGAATTGATGACGTTTAGTAGTAATGGTTTTAGAAGTAAGGTCTTTTAGAAGCAATGTCTATTGGAAGTAATGATCTTAGAAGTACTGGTGAGTAGCCCTTATTTTAGACGTTCCACACGCAGACCAACCAGCAGATGACCGAGTTGATCGAGTCGTACGCTGGCCTGCAAGCCGCCGTGGCTGAATACACATATTCGGTGGGCTCTCTCAATTTTTTTAAATAAACGGGATCATGCGCATTATCAGGGGGATGAATTTTTGAAACGCTTTGAATTTTTAGGATTCGCTAGGGGAAACGGCCTAGATTTTTTTGTTATGAATAGCGTTACATTGTTTTTAACTAGCGTCAAGCATAAAAACTTCCCAAATTTTAATTAAGAATTGCATTTTAGGTAGAAAAATTAATTTTTCGCCACAAAATGACCAAATTTTCGGCTTTTCAAAAACTTGCTCACTTTTTTTGGAAGTTTTTCCACTTTAATTATAGTTAAACTTACTAAAAACAACGTATATATATTTGATGACTGGGCCAACCGGAATCGCCGGGGAAAAAAAATAGTTTCACCCCCGCGAATAGGTGTGCGGTTTTAGTGGAAAGTCCTCGGACTTTTGGAGGCCCAAAAGTTCGCCCACTTTGGACTTAAAACCAACACTAACGACGATTGTTTCAGCGATGGAAGGTCCACTTTTTAAGCGAGCGAGGTTCGGAAGGGGCTTCAACGGACGCATATAAGGTTCGAATTCAGCCTTCGATTACCCATATTTCTAGATAACGAAGGATCGTGTCACGCTGCAGGCGCGTGATGGTGGCCCAAGGCCATGTAAGTGTCTAAAACTCTCACGAGGGAAGTGCACGACCGGCCCACGAAAAATCGACATGAGAAATAGTGGATCCGATAGAATCGGACATTCCCGATCTTTGATCAGAATTTGCTAAACGAAACGACACAAAAGTCATGAGGCTTCAAAGTTGGTAAACTCGCCCAAAATCGGACTTTTATGGGCCTGTAGGGGCCCTGGGAACGGAATTTTGCCACAACCCATTGGTGCATCTTGTTCAGCAGGAAAAGCGCTTTCGAATGAGCTATAATCCGTGCCATTTGCAAATAATTCACTAAAAAGTTTTTTTTTTGAATACACGGGCAAGGGTTGAGGTCATCGAAGAGATTTCCGCGAAATCATTGTAAACTTTACGTGTTATAGCTCATTCGAAAGAGCTTTTTCTGCTGAACAAGATGCACTAATGGGTAGCGGCGAAATTTCCATTCCCCGGCCCGTACAGGCCTATAAAAGTCCGATTTTAGGCGATTTTACCAACTTTGAAGCCTCAGAACTTTTGTGTCGTTTCGTTTAGCTCTGATCAAAGATTGGGAATGTCCGGTTCTATCGGATCCACCATTTCGCATGACGATTTTCCGTGGGCCGGTTTTGCACTTCCCTCGTCAGATCTCTGGAACGCACAGTGCCGGCTTTGGGGCTGCGCGACTTGATGAAACATTGAACTCCCAGATTTTAATGAAAAAGCAAAAGGCCCTGCCACGGCCGGGGGTCGAACCCGGGCCTTGTGCGCGGCAAGCGAACACAAAACCGATGTGCCAACAGGCCGAAGGGATCGAGACCAGACAGGCCCTCTTCCACCATCTGGTCATGGCGACTTAATCTTTTCGCATTTTAAAATCTTGTAAAAAAATTCTAGCAATTTTCGGCGCCAGGAATGAACTTTTGTAGAGTAATTCAACCACGGCGCACATTTTGACATACTTGACGCATTAATACGACTTATGGCTGAAAATCTCTGGCGGGGGCGGGGGTAAATTAGACTTTTACCAAAAAAATAATTTTGGCATGAAGGGAAATTCGAGGGAGAATTCGGGAATTTCGAAAATCGCAAATATCGTATTGCCCAGCTTGTCGAGAGCGTTCGATAGATATCTAAAGCGTAAAAATCGGATAAAACTACGGCCCTCGGGGGGACACCATGTAGGCAAAGGGCCAAAGGACCATTGCTGAAGCTAATCAACAGTATTTGCAATATCTTGTTGCAGCGTTCCCCCGTCCTCCACCGGCACGAGAAGATTGGCCACCTATCGGGCCTCGCCCTGCTACGATCCCAAATGTGGGCCATTTCGATTGCCGTTATTTCTTAATTCCCGTATATTGAGCTGTTTTCAACTGAGGTTCTTTTACACTATCGGGCGCGGGGGAGAATTTTTAACGAATGCTAACTATTAACGAATTTTAAGGAACCAATTTTTTGTATCGGCCTAGCAATGCCTAGTAACTGAATAGAAAGTATTTTCATGTTTTTAGTGAACTAAAAATGTATTTTGGCTAGAAAAACTCCCAGAAAACTTCGAAAATTTTTTTCAAAACTCGAATTTTGGAAGTGTGGAAGTGGAAATTTTCCGGAAGGGACGTTAGCGTATATAGAGGGACAGCGGGAGCGTTTCATTTTTTGGTCATCGGAATTCGGGGGCAATTATGCAAAATTAAGCCATGCAATTATGCAATTAGATGGGGTCAGGGTTGACCCCTGGTAGTTAGTGAATTTCTCAGAAGAAAAAATTTGCTCCCCCCCCCGGTAATGCGAAAGAACCAAAAACTCTATTAAAGTACTATATATTAAGCTACTAAGCAATCCTAAGGCTTGTACAAAAAAAATCGTTCAGTTGGTTCTGACGCGTGAAGGGGACGGCATCTTCTTGGGCAAGACGGCGCCGTTGGCTGAGCTCAGAGAGGTGGGCAAAGTGGCAGTAGAAAGTGGTACCATCTAGATTTCGGTTCTGGACTGTTAGCGGAGGTAATAGTAGGGACTCCCTAGGGGGAAGCACTTTTTCTGTAGTTGCTTTTACATTATCGGGGGGACATTTTTTTGAGGATTCAATTTTTCAAATATAAATAGAAGTGTATCCAAATGCTTTTTTTACGATTCCTAAACAGGAAAGCTTTACAATTTTCGAATAAAAAAAAACCAAAAAATATCGGTTTTCCACCAAAAAAAGCCGTTCTTTGACCAAAATTTGGACTTTTTCAACATTTTTTAAGGGTTTTTAGCCACTTTTTCTAGTTTAAATATAGTTATATATTACTAAAAACACTATTAAAACGCAACTTAATAGGCATTTCTGGACTGACACAAAAAAGTTTCATATTTCACTTCTATTTTTTGGTTACAATGTTGACGGAAAAGTTAAAAATTTTCGAAATTTTTTTATGGTGATTTTTGTGTCTAAAACGATGTAAATTGCTATAAAAATTGTGTAAATTTTGTTATTGGGCGGTAGAGAATCACTGGGGAAAATTTTTTTGGTCCCCTGCTAAACCCTGACCCCCCGCTAACAGTCCAGCACCGATATTTCATCCATTTCACGATTTCAGGCACAGCGCGAGGAGTTGCGAGCGTCCGCTACGCTCCACGCCGCCACGACCAGGTTCACCGACGCACTGGCGAAGCTAGACCTGGTGGTAGGGTTTTGTACTGCTACAATTTCCGTTTCATTGCAGGCAAAAGCTCAGCGGGAGCTGCTTGGAGAAAAGGCGCAAGCCAAGAACATCGCCCAGGAGCAGGTAAGGAGTTTATAATATTCCCATGTTCTCTCTTCTAGTACGACAAATGCTTCAACGACATGGTTCGCAAACATGGACTGGCCTGGGTCGACGCTGCTCTGCAGGTTAATCGGGAAACTTCGCTCTGTCCTCTGGAAAATTTGGCCCTGGACTGTTAGCGGGGCGGGGGGGGGGGGAGTTTAGCAAGGTGGAAACCACTTTTTGTTTTTCCACCTATACCGAACTTTTCATTAACATGTAATATAGTTTTCAAGTGTTTTAGTAGTTTTTGATTGCTAGAAAATTAAAAAACTATTTTTGAGAATTTTGACTTTTTGCCAATTTTTCATAAATTTTTGTGCCAAAAGTTAACATTTTCGAAGATTTTATATTTTTACATTTTCTATATGTCCAAAAACTATGTAAAATGCTATAAAAATGGTTTGTATTGTGTTATAGGGCCGTAGAGAACCACATGGAAAAATTTGGTCCCCCGCAACCCCCGCTAACAGCGCAGTACCAGCGAACCTGTAATTTCTAACTTAGTAAAGAATACGAAAAAAGTTGGTTTCCTCGATAATAAGAAAGAACCCATGAATTAATTGCTTTCAGCCAGATCCACAGCGCGAGCCGCAGCAAGTACAGCCGCCAGCTGTTCCCGTACAGGAAATTGCTCCTCCCCAAGGCGTCCAAGATGCACAGCAGGACGCGGTCGGTGCTTACCTTTAGCCTACCAGCACCGTTTTCGCAAAATGACCAAAAAAAGGGAAAAAACAGTTTTTTCAAATTTTCGAAAATTTTGAAAATTTTCTTATGACTTTCTAGCAATCAAAAACTACTAAAACACTATAAAAATACTTTATAATGGTTAGAGGCGGAAAAACAGAAAGCGGCTCCTCCCTCCCCTGCTAACAGTCCAGATCCTAGGATTTGAGTGCACGGCATCCAGCGCTAAATAACGTCCCTAACGGTATCTGTAGATAACCGGATCTGAGCAGATTTAAAAATAGTTTTTAGTATAGAAAAACCGGTTCTTTCGCGGTATCCGGGGGGGGAAGAATTTTTTCGTAGCAAACAAGTTTTGCTTAGGTATTTCGAAGTGGTTTTTTACTAATCTAACCGTTAAAATTTACAAATTTGTATTAATAATGCAGAAAATATCGGGTTTTCGCTGAAAAATTGCCATTTTTGACAAAAAATTCGAATTTGTGAATTTTTTTGCAAAGCTTTTGGATCGTTGTTTCAGTTGAAATCTAGGTTTTCTACTAAAAACAATGGCAATATTTCCTATTAAGTCATCCTCCCCCCCGATAATGCGAAAGAACCAGGCCCGATTAGCCGACACATTCCTGTATTTTACCTTTGTTACAGGCGAATGAATTGCCATTACTGGTCATCCGGCGTCTGTCGACGGGCAGCCGGCTGCGCTTTGAAGCGGCGGAAAATGTAACGCAGAAAAACAGGAACACAGGAAAAGCGAAACCTGATGTCATTTAGTATTTTTGAGGGAAAATCATTATTATTGTAGACCGGCGCCCAAAAACGCGCCCGACGGAGGATTTTCCGAAATTTTTGTACATTTTTTGGTGGCGCTTAGGAAGCGTAAAGGATTTAAAAACAACTCCACGATGGATATTAGCAAAAATGAGCCCAAAAAAAATAAATTACGTCCGCACGCCCGAATGTCCATGTAAGTCGTTCTTGCAGGAGCAACACGGCGCCGACCCGGGGCAGCAGCCAATTCCAGCACCTCAGCACGACCGGCCAGCCCGCACTCCCGAGCAAGAGCGTCCCCGCCGCCCCTCCGGCAACAACGAAGGCGAGCCACCGCTGGTAAATGCCTTCCTAGTCTCTTTAACTTTCCGGATGGGGGCGTCATTTGGAATTTTTGCGTAGAATTCGGTTCGAGAAGTTGGTTCTTCTCTGTTAACGGGGGGGGAGTAATTTTTACATAGTTTTTCAAAAAAATTCGAACAGTTTCAAAAATTTCAAATGCCCATAATTTTTTATAAATTTTTATGTCGAAAAACGGTGTAAAAAACTATAAAAATGGGATATATTCGTCGGAATTTAGGATGGAAAGTTGGTGCCCCCCCCCCCGTAAACAGAAACCGAAAAATTGATCCTTGAAGCAAAATTTGATCCGCCCGCTCGAATGTCAATGAAGGTCGTTTTTCCAGGATCGCAACGCTTCTCCTCTTCATCGACAAGGCGTGGGATACGGGCAGCAACAGCAGACGCCGCCAGGACGCCCAGCTCGAGTGCCCGAGCAACAGCGCCGCCAGTCTGGCCACAATGAGGGCGAGCCGCCGCTGGTAAATGCCTTCCTAGTCTCTCTAAATTTCCGGTTGGGGGCGTCATTTGGAATTTTTGCGTAGAATTCGGTTCGAGAAATTGGTTCTTCTCTGTTTACGGGGGGGGGGGGGAGGGAGGGAGTAATTTTTACATAGTTTTTCAAAAAAATTCGAACAGCTTCAAAAATTTCAAATGCCCATAATTTTTTATAAATTTTTATGTCGAAAAACGGTGTAAAAAACTATAAAAATGGGATATATTTTGTTACGCGGCCGTCGGAATTTAAAATTGCGTCCGCCCGCCCGAATGTCCATGTAACCCGTTTTTGCAGGTGCAACACGTCGCCGACCCGCAGCAACATCAAATTCCGCAACCACACGCCTCACCACAGCACGACCGGCCAGCCCGCACTCCCGAGCAGCAGCTTCCCCGCCGCCCCTCCGGCAACAACGAGGGCGAGCCACCGCTGGTAAATGCCTTCCTAGTCTCTTTAAATTTCCCGATGGGGGCGTCGTTTGGAATTTTTGCGTAGAATTCGGTTCGAGAAATTGGTTCTTCTCTGTTAACGGGGAGGGGGAAGTAATTTTTACATACTTTTTTAAAAAGTCGAACAGCTTCAAAAATTTCAAATGCCCATAATTTTTTATAAATTTTTATGTCGAAAACCGGTGTAAAAACTATAAAAATGGGATATATTTTGTTACGCGGCCGTCGGAATTTAGGAGGGAAAGTTGGTGCCCCCCCCCCGTTAACAGAAACCGAAAAATTGAACCTTGAAGCAAAATTTGATCCGCCCGCTCGAATGTCAATGAAGGTCGTTTTTCCAGGCCAATCGCAACGCTTCTCCTCTTCATCGACAAGGCGTGGGATACGGGCAGCAACAGCAGACGCCGCCAGAACGCCCAGCTCGAGTGCCCGAGCAGCAGCGCCGCCAGTCTGGCCACAATGAGGGCGAGCCGCCGCTGGTAAATGCCTTCCTAGTCTCTCTAAATGTCATCTGGAATTTTGGGTCGATTTCGGTTCGAGAAAGGTTCTTCTCTGTTAACGGGGGAGGGAGTGATTTGAAAATTTGCATATTTGGTTTTTTTTTGCCATTTTTCATCGTTCATCAAGAAACTCCATAAAAAACTATAAACCTTTGTTACGTGGACGTCGGAATTAATGAGCGGAAGTTGGTGCCCCCCTCCCCGTTAACAGAAAAGAACCGAAAAATGAGCCGCGATGGAAGATCCAAACTTTTCTAGCTTTTTTTGAAAGTTGTTTTACTTTCAATAGGGTAATTTGTAAACTTATTAGAAAGCCAAACCGAAAAAGTTGCTGGTTTTGCAGGAGCGACATCGTGATCAAGTTCGCGCCCGCACGCCTTCCACCTCTCCTATTGCCCGACAGGCGCCACAGAACGTTGCTCAGCCTGTAAGTCTGCCTGACTGTGTCTGTCTGCCTTTTGCACACACATTTTCGAACGGAACCCCGATTTTCGAAACTCGCATTTTCGAAGGTCATATTTTCGAGAATCATATTTTCGAAAAGTCATATGTTCGAAACTCGTATCTTTGAGGATTTGCGTATATACTTTCGAAAATAAATTTGCAAAATCGTGTTTTCGAAAGTCATATTTGCGAAAATTTGCGTCCAGCCACCAACAGGAAAATTGGAAATGGCATGAAATATGAATGCAAATTTTTCGAAATTATGATTTTCGGAAAAATGACTTTCGAAAATACGACTTTCCGAAAAGATAACTTCTGAAAACATGGGTTTTCCGAAAGATGACTTTCCGAAAATACGATCGCCCACCGCGAGCGAGTGATATTTTTCAAAAACTATCTTCAAAATATTCTTTCAAAAAGAATATTTTGAAAATGTGCCTTTTGAAAATATGGGTTTCGAAAAGATGAGTTTTCGAAAATATGAGCTAAACGCCTGCAAGTGCCACAAAATGTTTTGCGAAAAACAATTTTGCAGGGAGCCGCCCGTCCACAGCATCAGCCCGGCCCTGCTGCTGGTGCTGTTCGTCGTAGCATGGAGCGCCTAGTGCAATACGTAAGTGGCAATCTATTCTCGTGATAGTGACTTTTAATTCACCAAGTTTGGTAGCATAACGGCATTTTTTCCACATTTTCAGATGAGAATTCAGACCACATTTTTCATGAGTGGCTTGCTTTCCAGACTCCAAAATTCATAATGTCAAATTTTAGCCTTTTAAATGTTTTTTTTGGTATAAATAGTTTCGATAAAACTCCTAAAAATTGGCGAATTTTTTTTTGATTTTTTGGTCCAAAATGCATGAAAAACGTCCAAAAAAGGTAAAACTTCCAAATTTTCAAAAACTTTGGAAATATTTTTTATAACCTTTTAGCAATCGAATTGCTAAAAACACTATAGAAATACGTTATACATCAATCAACAGGTGGAAAAGGAAAAAGTGTTCCCCTGCTAACCCCCCGCTAAGAGTCCAGAGCCATGGATACAAAATCCAGTTATAGCCACTAATTTAGTGTTGTATAAATTGTATTCTTGTTTTTCTGGCGAGCCAAACAAATCCTAAGCGCAATTCACCACCATGTTGCAGATGGATCCGCCGGACATGCGTGGCCTCGTCCAACAACCTGATGGAGCCGCCGAGGCACCGTACTGGCTGCGAGACCGGCCGCCCCCTCCTGCTCCAGTTCCTTTTCCTCAGCCGGTGGGAGATTCAAAAACGGTTTCGTCTAACTTCTAGCAAAAAATGGGAATCATTAGAGAGACATTCACCCCCCCCAATTTCATCAATCGGTCCCAGCCGTAGCAAGGCCTGTTTCCTAAAGCGTGGATCAGGCCTCTCCGGGGGAAAAGAACCTGTCCATTCCTGGGGCTGATTGGTCTGTTGGTTCATCGGTTTCGTGCTCGCTTTCCGCGCACACGGCCCGGGTTCGGCACCCGGCCGTGACAAGTCCTTTGCTTTTTCATCGAAAGCTGGGAGTAGAATGTTTCTTTAACGCGTCACGGTTTCTTACTACTCCTAACCGGGCTCTGGACTGTTAGCGGGGGACCAACTTCTTTCCCAGTAGTTCCACCCGATCACGAAGTACAAACCATTTTTATTGCATTTTACAAAGTTTTTAGCATCAAAAATGTATAACACTAATTAAATTTTCAAAGATTTTTGGGTTTTTGGTAAACAAAGGTATGAAAATGACCGAAAAAGTAGACATTTTCGAATTTTCACAAATTTTTGAACAATTTCTGATACCATTCTAGCAAACGAATACGGCTAAAAACAAATAACCCGCCGTCAAAATACCGACAGCCAAATTGTGATATTTCCGATCGTTTTACCCATAAATTCATTTAAAAGCTGGGCCGACGGGCTGTCGGTATTTTTGCTGTCGGGATTTTGAATGTAGGGATTTTGGCGTTTTCCCCTCAACCAGGCATGGGCCGATGGACTAAACTTTGACGGCCCTTTAAATTGCTGAAAAATGACCGAAAGTGAGAAATAATTGCTAACAGCTGCGTACGCTATTTTTTTTTATTGACTGTTTTGCAGAAAAAGCGCAAGAAATGAAGGTCCTGCCGCTCAAACTCGCCGCCGATGATCATCTTTAACATTAACGATGCCATACTATCCGCCAATTTAAATTTACATGTCCACTCCCCACGCCGTCTTTTTGTACCTATACTCGTGCTTGTCCCCATGTTAATACTCGATATCCGAAATCCCGCAACCTGGTGTCCTTTTTCGCTTCATCCTGATACGACGGCTAATAAATTTACATTACCGTATTATGGTTCTTTTACATTACCGGGGGGGGGGAATCGAATTTTTGTATCGTTCTAGAAATGCCTAGTCACTGAATAGCAATTGTTTTAATAGGGTTTTTAGTAATACCTGACTATATTTCAACTAAAAAACTTTGAAAAGGCCAAAACTTTGGACGAAAATCGGCCATTTACGGTCGATAAATCGATATTTTTGACTCTTTTTAACTTAATAAAAATTTGTAAAGTTTTTACCTTTCTAGGAATTGGCATTATGTAAAATCCGCATTATGAAAATCGGCATCATGTGAAATCGGCATTAAGATCGTCGCATTATGAAAATCGGCATTGTAATAGTCGGCATTATGAAAATAGGCGTTATGTCATCGGCCTTATAAGATTATCCTCTAATATAACCTATTCCAGCAACCACAGCCAATTCCGGCCGCCCCCGAGCTCGCCGAGTTCGAGGTCAATGTCATGGAACTCGGCCCGGAAGAGCAGGCCGACCAATCGAACCGAGGCGCTGGACGACCACAAAAGGAGGGAGAGGTAGCTCGAACCTCAACATTTGTCGACAATAATTTTGTCAGAATTTGACGTTGTCGAAAACGCATTTTTTCGAAAATTTTTCTGCCGGGATCGCATTCTGCCGAAACTTCATTGCGCAGAAGTTTCAATTGCGAAATTTTGAGATTTTCCGACTTTGCGGCTCGCGGCTGCGAAAAACGCATTGAAGTTGCGACAGAGTGAGAGTTCGACAAAAAGCACTATAAAACGCACAGTAAAGCTAAAAGCTAGCCATAGGCGAAATATAAAATAATTAACGCGCTGGCATACCATCTCAAGCGCCATCTCTTTGCAGCCGGGCAGGTGTGCCAACTGCCGAGCGAAGGCCAACGACGTCATCGAGGGCTCAGACAAGGTCATCGTGCTCGACCGCACCTACGGCCCGCTGTCGTGCCAAGGATGTAAAGAGAAATATAGGTGAGCCGGCCTTTCGCATGGGGGAACGCGGGGGGGGGGAAAGGAGAACAAATTTTTCCTTTTTAATTACCTAATATTTCCAAGGTAAATACAGGGTTTAGCTGCAAAAGCATTTTTGCAGAAAGGCCGTGAGGCGCTTGCCGACCGTCAAAAATTGCGAACTGCGGCAGTGCGACAAGGGTGAGTACCTCAGCGCGTTTTGACCATCGCTACCCTCATTTTCAGAGAGGTGCACGCCGCATGCCGTGGAGAAGATGGAGGCCATCGGCTTTCAGCGTGGCCTACTCCCCCGCGAGAACAAGCAGAAAATCCGCCGTCGCACCCCGTCTAATTAAGCCCATTGATGTGAATTTTTATGTGAATTAACCATGCGATTGTTTTTTATGTCATATATGTCATGCCCATACACTCGGTCCTGGAATAAACTGTCTTGAATTAAATGATTCAAACAGTGCGCTGCATTCCAACAGGAAATGAGGAAGCGGC